TGAGATATCAAAAAATTACTCCAGAGTGTTGTTCAGCATGGGGGTGAGTAGAAAATGAAGGCTAATCATGTTTTGGGTGTACTATTCCTTTAACCCCACACTGCTCCCCGGGTGCACCACAATAGCAGCCTACTGCTCCCTAATTTGAGGGGTTAACTGCAGAGGTAAATTTCTCCAATGTGAGATCTATAAAGGTTCAATTATTATTATTAATTATTAATAACTATGTTTAAATGTTGTAAGGACTCAACACAAGATACAATTTCAACAGTTCAATAACATGAAGTAAACAGAAGAGTATGAATAAACCTCTCACTTTCATTTGATGGGGTTATAAATGTATACAAACATGGAAAAAGAGTAGTATGTATGTAATTTTACTTTGTTTTAGTTTGATAAAAAACAATATATGCACTGTAGGTTCTAGTCTGTTTCCCTTCAATTACAGTTTTATTTATTTTAGAAAAATAAAATGTTTCTACAATTATGTTTACTTTTTTCTTTTTGCTAATTTTTATTAACCATAACAAACCTGATTCTTGGGCCATATCCTGGAGTGATGAGCTCCCGGAGATTAGTGGGGCCAGCTGTGGGCTCCAGGGCCTCTTAGCCTCCCATCCTTTGACCTATCAGGACTAGTGCTGATGTTTGCTGGTGTGTCGAAGGCCCTGGGAGATTACCCCTGCCTGGTGCTGGGCAGTCTTGCTGCTGGGGGTTATTTGTGTGTCGGTGTGCCGACACAAAAATCATCTAAATTGATGAAGGTCATATAAACACAGGTTTTTATGACTTCAATGTGGTTTCATGACTTAGATAATGGATCCAGTCTTTATTTATAAAAATCAATCATGCAATCAGAAAACCAACTTTACAGCAAATGGCCTTCTTTAGAGCAAGTTCCACCCGCCACATGTAGCTAACCATGTATTCAGAAGCTATATAACGAATCAAAAATATTTATTCTCATATTGCCTCTGTCAAAAAGCAGAAGCTCTTATTTCTTCCCCTATGTTGTTAACAAAACATACTTACAGTACAGGCAATGAAAATTTATCCAAAGCCTTTAAATAAAGTCATAATCTGTTCTAGAAGCATACTGCCTCTGGAAAATCTTTGACAAAAATCCCAGAACCCAAAGCTTGATCATCAAAAGGGAACAGTCATGAAAATAAACGGTAACTCATATCCCTAAAATGAGATATTCTTTCCAGCTAATTAGAAATACATTTGCGATAAGTAGCTGTGTGTAGCATGTGTGCAGCACCTCATCGCTAGAATAAATGTCTCCTTTGTGTGACACACTCCTTAGCAATTAAACACCTTCTTATTCTAATTGTTAAATATAATGAAATTAAAGGGGTGATAGAATGATTCTATAGGGTATTTGGTGCTGGTCCTTAAGGTCTCTGAATAGGGTGTGTAACATTGGTTGGGCTGAAAATGGCATATTTGCTGTTCTATGAGCCCTAATGCAAGCCTGGTCATAAGCCCTGAAATAAAACGACAGGTTTTCTTATTTTTATGGTATGCTGATGAATATTTGGATGAGCTGTGCGCTGATTGGTTGGTTTACAACGAGCAAAGCTGCTGATTAAAGACGCATCATAGCAACAAGCACTCACTGAAACATCTAATTGTTGATATGGTAGGGTGACCAGACGTCCTCTTTTTTTCCCAGGCATGTCCTACTTTTCATAACTAAAAAAAATGTCTGAGGGGAATTCCTAAATTATCCGGAATTTTGGTCGACTATAGTGCAGCATGTAGTCGAAACACACCGGGCATTTGAACCGAGCTGTGAGCTCCGGGTCTGGTCCGGGAACCCCGGCGGACACGAGTGGTGAGCCAGCTGGGGACTTACCGGGCAGGTGGGGGGAAGCATACCGTCACTGGGATGATTGAATGCCCTGTCCAGCCCAGCTGCTGTCTTGGGTAAAACGCTTAGAGCAAAAAGACAAAAATAATCCATGCCTGTCCAGTCTTCAGATGAGTTTATGTTGAATGAATTAAAGATTACACATTGATTGCTAATCATTATGTGCAGTGATGGGAGTAACGCCGTTGAAAGTAACAGCGTTAGTAACGGCGTTACCTTTTTTTAGTAACGAGTAATCTAACTAATTACTTTGACTGTAACTATAACGCAGT